TATCTTAACAGGGAATCTCTCATATCCCCATGTGCAAAACAGCATGGTTACCCAGCTACATCTTGTGATTCCAGACTGGCACAAGGTTTATAAAATTCTGCATTTCTGGACTTTTTTCCTTCCTCTTTTCCTAGGTTTCCTCCTGGGCTGAAGGAGAATCTCTGGCATTTCAAGGGCTGAGACCTCCCCATGGGGATAGACAAAGGGGTGCCAGATTGGGCTTGATGGCAGTCTATCGTAATATCATAGTGGGGAACCCTTGGAAGAAGGGGCCTGCTAAGAAGGTTTAAAATTATCCCCCCTCCCTGTTTGTAAGTCTACGAAGGCGAAGGTGGTTCAGCTCAGCTTTTCCTTGAGCTCTGAGTTCCTCAAGTACTTGTAGATAAGCTGCAAAGTCACAACTTCTCCTCCCATTTGCCATGCCCAGATAATAATGTCGACGGGGGGGGGGGGTTGGATGTAAGGAATACTGAGGTATTTGAAATTAGCTCTATAAATCAGGGTGGGGGAATTAATGGCTGGCATTTGGGGGTACCTGCCAACACGGGGCTCCCTGAATCCTCCAGCTTCGCCTCCTGTTTCCAAGCGAATGAGGAATGACGACAGCAGAGAGAAAAGCTGTTTGCCTTGCTTGCCCGCTTGATGGGCATTGCACCAATAAATAATAAATAACAATTATTAACCAAGGCTTTTGCCCTCTAGTGACTTAACAGTGACTTCTAGAGCAGTGTTTTCAGACTATGATCTGCAAAATCCGAGAATTTGATAGAGTTGTATGAGAGATTCCAAGCAACATTTTTCTTCCCTTTTATTAGAGCTTTGCCTCTTGAACAGGCGTTCTGAGGTTTGGTTTGGCTTTAACTAGCAGGTCCCACAGTCTGAAAATGTCCAAACCCCTGTTCTAAAGCCACCCGACCATTATTGTACCGAAAGAGCAGTAATGAGCATCAACTTTCTATCACTTCTGTGATGGCTGAGGGATGCTCTTATGAAGATGTTGTACTGTACCCTAAGTCCCAAGTGAAAAAATGGCCTCGGTCAATACTTTTCATTCATTATTTACTGTTTTGATGATGCCTCCCACCTTTCCTCCAGGAGGACGCAGTTCTTCCTCCTTTAATGTTTTACCTCCACAACAACAACCTTGTGAGGTAGGCAGCTTAAGCAATAGCAAGTGGCCCAAGTCACTGGGTGGGCAACTCTGGCTGAGGCTGTCTTTGAACGTGGATCTCCCGAGTCCTAGTCCCACATGCTACACTAATGTTTATTCTCATTGTCCTAAACTACTTTAAGATTTGTACAAAGAGAAATGGAATATACGTCCTTAAATAAGCAAATACCAAACTAATCCCTCCCTCCTGCAATATCAAGAGTTATAGCTGCATAAGTCCTACTTTATTCTAGATACAAATTTCCTTCCCCTATGGGATGGGGGCAGCAAATCTGACTTCTCTATAGTGAAAATCCACTTCCAGTATTGGTACTCTGAACATCCACAGGTGTGCAAAAAATGTGGATGGCCGTGACCACATGATCAAAGCCCCCAACCCTTTTAATGCATTGATGTAGAAGTGGGAGGGGGCTTTCAACGTGTGATCACAACTGCCATCTTGATTTTGTCGGCAGACACACACACCTGGACATTCCTGGTTGCAGCAGAGAAAGCCCTTGAATTCTGCTGTTGGAAGACCCAACGCCATGCTTCTCAACCTCAGCAACTTTGAGATGGGTGGACTTCGACTCCCAGAATTCCAAGCTGGATGGGGAATTCTGGGAGTCGAAGTCCACCCATCTCAAAGTTGCTGAGGTTGGGAAACACCAAAGTAAGGAACAGATGCTGTAGGCCAGCCGAGCTAAATTGGAGACGAGATTAATATGGAGACATTCCCAAAGTGGTTTGCTACAGCAACAGCGGTTCTGGATGCTGGGCACTAACAACATTGGCTCTGCTTGGCAGGGGGTTTGGCTGGGCTGTGTCGCCCTTTGTTGCTTTGTGGGGCTGGCGTGATTCCCAGCCGCACCGTGCCAGCTCTGGGCGACTCGTTTTTTCCCACGGGACTCAGTCCAGGCCCCCCGTAGCGCGCAAGTCCAGGCCCTCAGACTTTTCAACTGCTGATCTTGCACTGTGAGCGAGAGGCCATTGTGCGGCTCGGCTTGGCCCTGCCCCCTGCTGGCTACAATGAGCAACTGCAGTTGTAGGGAAGACATGAGAAAAACTCCTTCATTTCACAACAGGTGGGCAGACCCAACCACCGTTGCAGCTGGGAAACTCTGAGCATCCTAGACCAAGCCAAATCCAAAAATGCCAGGGGATTCCTGGAAGCGGTGTTCAGACAAATCACCCCTTGATAGGCACGTAGAGATAGATCACATTTACACACCATTCAAAAGAGGTAGTAAAAAACCTAGGCAGGAAACAAAAAAACTAGAACACATCCCCTCCAGCAGCCCACATTCAGACAAGCAGGGGTGAACAACAGACAAACAGGCAGAAAACAATACAGTACTCGAATCAAGGAGCCACCAAGAAGGAAAACTTACCTCTACCAAAACTAGCAGGGCAAGCTACTATATATAAACAGGCAGTAAACCCCACACTCCTTTGCACTGATGCGATTACCTAGCTGGGTGATGAAACATCTGCAAGCAAACAACCAGGTTCAGAGAGCACCAAGTTAGAAGAACAGACAGAGAGGCCAACGTGGTGGCTGGCATGCCACAATACTGCTAACTCCTAAACCCAGCTCAAGTAAACAATGGTTATGTTCCTACAACATGCTACTTTCAAACAAGCACTATTATGGCTGAACGTGCTGGCCTGAGTTCTCACCGTATGCTGAATCCCAAATGCCCAGTCCTCTTTTAGGCTAGTTGAGCATGTTGTGTGAATGGAACACCCCAGTTTCACCAAACCTTGTTGAAGGGGGCAGCATTCTGGTTCTGTGGGGTACCTGTTGCATTCCCACAGGGTCCCTTTCCTGCCTCCAGCACTGATTTAAAAGCCACACAAGGGCGTTTGTGTTCCTCATTCACACTGAAATGGAGAAATAGCCTTGTCTGACGCCCTGAGGCCTATTTTCAAACTGTGAGCTTCCCACAGTAGGAAGTCTATCTGGACACCCTCGCCCTTCTTCTCAATAGAGGAACTGAGAAGATTTGTCACATTTTTGCAAGACCTCACCCTGTATGATCCAGTGGCCTTGCAACCAAACTATTTCTGAGATGTTTGGATGGCTGGGAGCTAGGTTACCATCACTTAGTGTGATTTTTGCCATTTTTCCTCTTCTCTCCCAATACTTTTTCCTTTTATGTTGAATGTCTTAGACAGCAAGCCCAATGGCCAGGTTTATTTTACTATTGATCTTTGCAAACTGTTCTGGAAGCCAGTCTTAGCTGTCAGTGATTTTTGTTAAGTTACAATTGAATTTAGTGGTTTTAAGACTGGATAAGGGGAAAGAGAGTAGATGGGTAGAGGAAATAAAGATGCACTAAAATTGACAAGGTCTCATTAAACTGTGGTTTCCTTTTCAAAGTGTTTACATTCTGCTTTCACAGGGACATCAGATTCAGGCTGCAAAATAAACAGGACAAGCATTAGATGGCAGCAAAGTTATACAGAGAACTCTCTTCTGCATCTAGAGAACATCTGGATTTTTCACCCAAACCATTTTCCTTTTCGTCTCACCCACATCTGCACTGCTCACATTCTAGAAAATCCACAGATTGCCACCAAACCCAAGAAGAATATTTATTTCCGCTAGAAATAAAAGCATAAACAAATAAAATGGCAGGCTCTGTTGCAGAACCGACATAACTTTAATGTAATAAATTCTATCTATCATCTATCTATCATATTTGTATAGCCGCCCATCTCATTTATAGTGACTTATATTATGCCTAGCCTGACATTCTGCATATATGCTGTGTGCCATTCCATGTTATCATTTATTTATTTATAAAAGCACAAGGTTTGTATTAATGAGCATGTATCTATTCTCTGCTCTGAGAGTTCACTTTTAGAAACTCTGGGGGGAATCAAGTTTAATCCTAAAGAATAGCAGCAAATCTAGTGGCTTATATCAAGAAAGAATTCTTAAAAGATCAAAAATATGAACAAAGGACCAATGGAGATTTTTTCAAAATTGGAAACTGGGAAATAAGAACTATTCCTGGCTGCAGTTCTGTTTGTCTGTATCTTACTTTTTAAAAGCACACTGTAAAAAACATTTTAAAAAAGACACATAAATTGGGAACATTGGAACATTTGACATGCAAAGAAATAATTTGTAGTATATTCTCGAGAGAGTTTGAGTGGCAATGTTGATAGAAATCCCATGCTTAAGAGGACTTGTAAAAAGCCAGAACATTTTGAGTTCAAATACATACAACGATACAAAGAATTTTAAAGACTAATATTCAACTGAAACCAGAACTCTTCTTGTTGGGATTAATGGACAGACAATTAGAAAAGAGTCATGGAAGATTACTTTTATATAGGATCACTGCAGCGAGATTATTGTATGCACAAAAATGGAAAGATTCTGAAATACCCACAATGGAGGAATGGTTGGTAAAGATAACAGAACTAGCAGAGATGGCAAAATTAACTTGTTTGCTTAGAAACTGATCAATGACTATATTTAGTAGCGACTGGAAACCCCTTATGGACTTTTTGCTCAAAAAAGAAAAAAATGAACTTGTGATTTATAGATTAGAAAGGGTAGTTTACAGAAAGATGATTAGAAAGGGTAGTTTACAGAAAGAAGGAAATTATGATATAACTTTAGAGAGGGCAAAATATAAATGCATGTATAACTGCTGTTAAGAAGATCGGAAGCCGCTTCTTTATACCTCTTTCTTTCTTTTTTACTTCTCTCTTCTTCTTTCTTCTTCTTACTTTCAACTTAAAATTTGTACTGTTTTTATTCTGTTGAAAACCTCTTTAACATAAAAAAGAAATTCCATGCTTAATAACTTGCCTTTCCCCCCATGAATATTGCCTGTGTCTTTCATAGCACAAGTCCCTTTCTCTCCCGCAAGCCTGTGGGTGTATTCGTTTCTTATTTGGCCATTCCAGAGGTGCGGCTTTGCTGTAAGTCACAGTTTTGCCAGTAACGTGGGGTGCCTGGGAGGAAGTGGAGGGGGAGAGGAAAAAAAACAGCCTAGGGTTATTCCCGACAATAGTTGTGCCACTTCCTTCTCCCTCTGATCAATAGAGGGTGTGTGTGGGGGGGGTGGTTTCACTTTCCAAGGGGCATGTAAGTGACATCGTTTCCACGGTGGAAAGAACTGCACTCTGAACGAGAGGGTGGATGCAGAAGAAGACGGAAGACGGTGTCTCACTCACCGCTACGAAAAAGATCAAAGAAGACCCCGGGCTAAGGATAGATTTAGTCTGCCAATCATTCCGCAGAGCCTGGTTTAGACCAGAGGTTTTCGTGTTGCACAGGCCCAGCTGATAAGGAGGAAGTGTGGAGGCTAAAAGGAAAGTTTTTTTGTAACCCTGCCCTGCAGTCTGTGGAGCCGAAAAGGCACGGCAAAGGCAGGGCTTCTGTGCTGTGGAATCTATGGGGTAAAACAACCACCTGCAGACTGTTTGGAGTTGGCTGTGGACGTCAGCCACAGGGCTTGTGCCTGTCACTGGTATGTGACCCTTCTGAATCCACTCAACCACGCTGCCTTGAAGTTCTCTTCTAGTCATGCTCGTCAACCAATGGGCCGTTTGTCCTGCTAAGGTGAGGTTCTACAACATCTAAAACGATGCCTTGTTGAGCAGGGAAGCGTTGCTAATGCCCTTAAAAGTGATTGTTATTTGGGGCCGGTGCATCTTGTTACACTGCTTCCACCTTTCTTGAGTCGAAAGATATTGGGGGGAACTGGGAGGAACCGTACTAGGATTGCTGTCCCCAGAGAGACTTGCCTGCCATCTACGTTACTGTACGGTTCTTTCAGCACCAGTTGCAGCCCTTTTTATGTATCCAGCTATTCTGAAAATCATTTTAGTGTTTTTAGAACTTCAGGGTTTTTCTGCTTTTCTTAATAATGCAATTTAATACAGGTAGTCCTCAGCTTACAACCATTCATTTAACGACTGTTCAAAGTTATGATAGCACTGAAAAAAGTGACTCACGCCTGGTCCTTGCACTTATGACTGTCGCAGTGTTCTCACGGTCACATGATCAAAATTTGGGCACTTGGCAACCGGCATGTATTTACAGCAGTTGCAGTGTCCCAGGGTCATGTGATCACCATTTGTGACCTTCCCAACTGGCTTCTGACAAACAAAGTCAATGGAGGAAGCCAGATTCGCTTAATGACCATGGCAAGAAAGGTCATAAAATCAGGTGTGACTCACTTAATGGCTGCAACGCTTAGTGATGGATGCTCCAGTCCCAATTGTGGTTGTAAGTCGAGGACTACCTGTACTGCACTTCTTGCCATTGTTGTTCCTGCCTCTAATTTTCACTTTGGTTGATGGTGCATTTTTTTTCTGTTGGTTTTTAGTATTATTATTATTATTATTATTATTATTATCATCATCATCATCATCATCATCATTATTATTATTTTAACTTTAAAACATATGTTTTCACTGATTGTATACTGCCGTGATAGATCAGGTGGTTGTACAATTAAAGATAGTAGAAAAATACATCATTTAAGTAGAGGCCAATTTAAGCTAATTTCAGTTAGAATTTCTTCATTTCCTTACCAGTTTTGTCTCTTTCCAAACAGAGGGGAAGAAATAAAGCCACACAATTATTTTCTTTCAAATTAGGCAAAGTTTAGTTCATCAATCTGGCTGCTCAAGAAACTACACAGCTTGGAAGAGCACATCAAAATATCCCCCACTCTTTCCTAAGCTATATGTGTTTGTGTGTGTGATTATAATTACCGATGACTTCTAATCCTAAAATTCTGATTCTGTTTAATTGTCATCCCTTAACAAAGTCAAAGGGTATTCTTCAGCCTTGTGCCTAGCTAGTAAGAAGTAACTGGGGTGACATTTCCCCATCTTACTGTTCTTTAGGTTGAAGACTTTTGGAGATGCACATTTTTTTTCAATATCAGCTTCATTTAGAAATGTACTGGTACAGAGCATCCCCGGCTTAAGAATGCCCAGGTTACAGATGACCCATCATTAAGAACAGAGCCTACTGTAGCAAGATTCGAGTTAAATACACAAGGATTCGAGTTAAATACACAAG